AATTAATTTGGTTAGTCTCAAGGGTGCCACCAGTGCTCCTGTTCTTTTTGCGGATACAGACTAACACGGCTGCTACTCTGAAACCATAGAATATCTGATAGCTCAGTGGTTAGGGCACTCTGAGATGTAAGCGACCCATGTTCCAATCCATTCTCCCCCCTGGCAGAGGTGGAACTGAACCTAGGGCTCAAACATCCTAGGCGAATGCTCTAACCACAGGGTTAAAAGTTACAAACTCCTTTGTGTGGACCGAGCCAGGCATCTAACACATTCAGGGATCACTAAACAGAGATAGGCACCTGCCTCTGACAGAGGGGTGGGATTTAACACAATCCCCTCTCATCAGTAGCTCCCTACCTATCGCATTGAAAGGCACCTCTCCCCCCCAATTCATTGTATAGGGAACCTAAGTGCCTAATTCGGGCTTTGTGGATTGCAAAGGTGTTCCTGTGATTTTCTAGGTGCCATGATGATCAGCATTGCAATACCCAAGTCCCTTTGTGGATCAAGGCTTCTGTGATACAAATAAAGTATTTGTGTAACAATTTGAGAATTTGTATATTATATAGGAATAAATGCTTTTGGAGGGGTTAGTTAAGACAAGTTTAGATTTCTTTGTGACAAGTTTTGCCTTTGGTCTGGAAGGCAATTTTAAAAAGTCTTTTGTAGTGACAACTATATAATTAATCTGATACTGCTTATTAAAGGTCTCTCTTCCACCCATGAGAGCAAGAAAATGTGTAGCTGAATTTAGCATGAGCACCTATATTATCAAGCTTGTTTTGTGTCTGAAATCAGATTCCCGCCCCCCCCTCCCCCTCAGGGTGGTACATTTCTTTAGAAATGACAGGCCAAATTGTTAGAGGGACTTTTAAAACCATACATATATGCCTACCTTTCTGGAGCAGTTACAATCAAACATGTAATTTCTAGAAAAATTCACTCCTCTCAAGAATCTTAGTAGCTGTGTTTCCAGGAACAAATTTGTAAAGCTAAAGATGGGAAACTCCTGAAATGTAATTTAACCAATACAGATACAGCTGTTTAAGCATAAAGTTGGAACAACACTCATCTCACCTGAGGAGAGCCTGACTTGTACAGACAGTATTTAGAACAGCTTTTAGGTTTTGGTCTTTGTTCCACATGGCTTGTTTTAAAAAGTATACAAAGACCTTAAAAATCAAGCAATCTTTTCCACAAGATTCAGGTGAAGCCAAAATTTCCATCAATGCTTCCTCACTCACATGTTTTGGAGTTCCCCGCCCACATCAATAAAGCACTTTTCTCCTCAGGACACATGCCAAAATCACAACTATAGATAATCCTTTGAGAGAATTAAATGAGCCACTTGAATAGTTTGCCATTTTATCTGTGCAAAGCTACTAAAAATCCATTCACTACCATCCTTCCTTACTTCCAACAGTATTTTGATCTTTGTATTTTATGCTATTTAATCTGCAGTACTAATTAAAAAGATAGGTATGTACATTTTAACAAGCATCTGAAGTTAAATTAGCTGTAGTAACTGGTTAATAATCATTCCTGGTGTGCTAGCAATATTCACTTGTCACTGGCATGATTATAAAACACGTGTATTCTTCTCTGCCTCAATAAGCCAATGTTTTGAAAATGTGTTATTATTCCAACAAGATTTGCCCAAAGGGTAAAACAAGACAAAGCATATGCATGCTGAGGCTCGGTGAAACTTGTGAGCGTGTGTGTGTGGTGGGGGGGATGTTAGTATAATTTCCACAATAAGGACTTAAAGCAATACGCTAGATGCCAAGTCCCACTGCTGTTTCACACGAGAACTCACATGTTCTAAAAATTACTGAAAGCAGTCCAGCAAAAGCCTCTACTCAGCACCAACTGTCAAGAGGTTAAGAAATAGCATCTTATATATTCAGATCTCCTCCTGGAGGGTGTGTACATGAATCTAACAAGTAGGTACAGCAAGAGGAAATGATATGCCCATAGTGCATTTTGCATATATACACCGCAAATGCACAATTTAAAAGAAAGTATTGCAATATATGAGCAAGTGACAATTTGCCTGTGGGAACCCAAAGGCCAAGTCCAGCCTTCCTTAATGTTTGTAAAATCCTCTGATGTCAAGGGGGCTGCACAGCAGTGATTCATGGCAGTGATTCATACAAGAACAACCTGCAGAATTTAGGATAGGATGTTAAAATACTCAGATTACACAGTTGGTACTTCATCTCTTGCAAACCAATTATTGCTTTTAGTCCAATCTAAAATATGGTGTGGACATTTCACTTGGTTCTAACAACATTTAAATTATTATTTCAAATCAGTCAAGGAGAGTTAAATGTTTATATGCAAGAAGATCACAAGTCAGCTGCTCCTTATCGCATTTCCATTTCAAATCTTGTGTGTTCAGTGGTTTAAACTGAAAGACACGATTAGAATTCTTTTCAGAGATATCTGGCATGTAAGCTCTTAGGACAAGAGCAAATATAAAACCCCAAACCAACTCAAAAACAAGTATTATTGCAGAATAACTTTTTGTATTTAATATACTACAGAAATGAGGCTTGTGTATAGTGGACTTGAAATTTTACTTCATCTCTGATTTAAAAGGGAGACGTGCTGGGTGGGGGGAAAGAGGAGGTCTTTGTATAGTCAATGTCTTCATAGACAGATAACACAGACCGATGCAGATTTTTTTTAAAAAAACACGTTCCATTTTATTATGTTTAGAACATTTAAAAAAAGACCAAAAGGGTTTTATTTTGTTTTTAAAAGAGAACACACTATCAGAAATACTACTATTCAGTAAAAACATACTAGAGTTTACATGAAGCAAATGCATCATGTGGTCTCTTTTAGCTGGAAAAAGTCATGAAATGTCTGGTGTCTGCCTTAATTTTATCAAAAGGTAAGGAGCATTTTGTTTGGAAGGGTTGGTTGTTTGGGGTGGGGGACAACAGAATTTTCATGTTTTGAAACTGCTAGAGATTTTGAAAGCTCATGTCAAGGGAGGTGTCTATTTGTTACTGTTCGTTCTGCGTTTACAACAGAGTCAGCATGGGAGGGCAAGAAATATGCTGTTTAAGTATTCCCTTGCTTTATATTTTGCCACACCTTTGAATAAAATCATTTGTATTGAACAAAGGGATCAAAGAGCATAGATGAACAAGGACTGATGCGGATACGAATCCCACATTACATAAAACAGCCCTGAGGCATACCATAACCACAGTAATAGCATTGGAAGCAGATCGAGCTTCTGATCATTTGGAAATGTGCACATGACACTTCAGAGCATACCAGAACAACCTGCCTTTTCTCTCTTGTGAAACAGTTACTGTACAAGAGAGCGCAGAGACCACACAGAAGAATTAGGACCAAGTCCTGCAGCCCTTATTGAGGAAAGCTCTTCGTAGATTTAAAGGCAAGTTTTCAGTGAGCAAAGGCTGAAGGACTTGGCACTTACTGGAGATATTGCACTTGGCAAAAAAGGGAGGCAGCTAGAAAAGCAAAGCAAAGTGGCAATACATGCCATGCTGCTGCGCTTTTATCCCTTCTAACACTTCCTGCTCTTTTCCTGGCATATGGATAACAACATGACAACTACCTGAAAGACAAATCCATTATTTTAGCCAGAGGAATTTAAGTTAGTTTTTAGTTTGAGAGAGAGAAACAAAACAAACCGTGGAGGGGCTTATGCAATCAGAGGTCTGATCTCGCTATTATGGCCTGGAACCAGTGGAGTTTCTTGGTTGACACCAATGCAGACTGCACTAGAACATCTAAAAATGTTAATGCCAACCAGTGTTTATTGTATAGAAGTGAGTACAAATGCTTCAAACAAAAGTTTCCCCAACAGCCAATTCAATGCAACTTCATTAGCATCCAGGGTTGAGTTATCAACTCCCTGGGTACATATTTAGTACTCCCTTATGATAACCAAGATGATGGATTTGGAGGAAAACACCTGAGGCTAAGGCAGAGAACTGGAATGGTTTGGTGACCCTCACAAAAGGTCAAACCCAATCTGTACTTTACCCAATCGTCAGCTGAATGGGAGGGGATGCCACACCAGTCATTGAAGGAATTCCTAGTTAGGACAGAGTAGTTACCTGATATTTCTTGTGTAAAAATCATTAACTTGGGGGGTGGGGGGGAAGGGGGAGGAGAGAGAGAGAAAACCCAGCCCATGAAGGATACTATCTTTCTATCTATCATAGAGCAATGGTTAAGGACACAAATACTGTCTTTTCCTTTGTAGGTTACTATTAAGACATTCCTCACCCCTAAAGGCCCCTTTAGGTTGGCCATGCTGGTATTGATACATTATGATAATCAAGTAGTTAATGCCCAGTATCCTTTGGTGACAAATGATCTGGACAAGGAAGATTAAAAAAAAAAAAAAGAAGCACAGCACATTTTAAACTCAAAACAATACTTGTTAAGAAGAGACATGGAATAAACCAATATTTATTCTTTCTTCTCACTATCCTCGGGGGCAGGGTCTGCTGGAGGCTCCTCAACTGTTGCGCTATTGCTCTCTGAACCAGTGTTACTATCACTAGTTCCTTCCTCCGCAGTACTGTCAACCCCTTCCTGGCCACTCTCCTTATCTTCTGGTGTGGATGTTCCTTCTTCACCGTTCTGCTGGTTCTCTGTAGTTTCTTCTGGGTGAGCCTCCTCTGGAAGAAGACATTTCTCAGTGTCATTTACACCAGTATAGTTGGCAATGCAAATACATTTTAGGAGCTAGAAAGCTACGGGGGAAAAAGTATCAAAGATATCACTGACATTTCTATTTGATATCAATAATTTACATTGTTTAGAAATTTTTAGTAGTTACTGCTCTGGAAAAATCTCATAAAACATGCATGAATATACAAGGTACCTTCCACACTACTTCTTAGAAGTACCCTGCAGCCTCTAACCCTAAGAAGAATGCTAGCCACAAATAAAAAAAGAAAATTGAGCAACAGAACTCCAACTTCCCTACCACACTCACCTACCCCAACTGTTATGACAACAAGCTGTGGTTCAAAATGATGCAGTCATGCTTACAATATCTAATTCTTCCACTAGTGCCACCACTTTTGGATTGGAAAGGAAATCTGACAGTGGGGGAGGTAAGCAAAGGTTAAAGTAGACAGGCACAGCCAGGGAAGTACAGCTTTCCCATGTCTGCTAAAAGCAGAGGGAGAGCTCCCTCTCCTCCTTCCCTGGTGCAGTGAAAATGTCCTGGTTTGTTTCGATCTACATTAATGACTAAAAGATAAGGTGAGATTTAGGGAAGGTTTGGAAATCAAACCTCTTCTGCTGGGTGCACCAGACATCCTGCACAATAGACTGTTTTTGTTGCTATTCTTTTTCCCCCTTTTCAAAATTGAGGTTTTTTAAAGGTGAAAAAAAGCCTAAACTTTGGTTATGGCCCTTCCTGCTTGTTCTATTGAGGTCAGAGAATTCTGAAGCCAGCCTTCATGTGCAGTTACCGGTCTCCATGGGAGCGCTCTCTTCTTCCTTCTTCTCCTCCGTCTTGTTAACGGCTTGCTCTGCCTCAGGTGCTGCATTGGTCTGACTGCGTTCAGCTTGCTCAACGGCTTCCTTTTCCCTTTCCTCTTGCCTCTTGCGGGCCTGTTCCTCGGCCTGAGCAATTTCAGCTGCTATTTTTTCCATGTCCACCTCCACCTTCAAACTGCATAACTAGCAATCAGAAGAGAAAAGTCCTTTTATTAATCCAGTACTTTGCTCTCTATGTTTGGCCTTTTGGAGTCAGGCAAAGCAGGTATCTTGTGCATTAAGAACGCATTTTGGAACATAACACAGAGGAAAACCTCATTCTGAGTTTAGTAGTGCTGCATGGGACAATGTTTGCACCTTGGTTTGCTAAGTTTAAGAATGTAAAATGGAGAGCTCCTGCAGCTATAGACGATCAGTTCTCTCAGAGATCTGGGATAAGACTATGCAGCAAAAATAGAAAATCAATGTAGGCCTTGATTCTCAGCTCTATTCAAGGACTACACAGTGCATTTGAGAAGCGTGCAAGCAAAGGTGGCTTTAAACCATCTTTGCCATCTCTTGACCTTGGGAGCACAGTGCTGATCTCCTTGGCTTCAATTAGATCAGTCTGAAGGCTGCTTTTAATTATGCTGGCTGCCAATAACCCCGGTGGGCCATTGCAGAAGCCTAGAATCACCAAGGGACATGGAAGCCCTCTGGCCAAGATTCGCTGCATTCTATAGCTCTGGGGCACCACAAAAAGATATTCTAGAACATGAACCCTCTTTTAAATATAGAGCTAGACAGAAGCTGGGCAGAGGACTCTTTTTGAATAATGTGCAACAAGTAGTATCCTAGAAGGAGAGAGAACATTTTAAAGCTGTACCCTCTTCAGTTCATTGTTAAAGGATTCTGTGCTTTCCAAGAACTTCCTCTTCTTTTCCTGGTGGCGCTCTTCTATTTGCAGGAGCTCGGCTTCCAGTTTTCGCTAAAAATGAAAGTAACTGAGTTATGAAACTTAATACTCAAATATACCAAATACTGGACAAAATGCTTTGATGCATACAAACAATGTAGATCATTTTTTTTATATCCATCTCACCCTTATGATGGAATCTGACTTTCCTGATTTGATGCTCAACAGCTCAAATGTGCAAATGAGGGAAGCCCCCATCCCCAAGTCGTAGTAATAAGAAACCATAAAGAAATTGGATAAATTATATTGTGCCCTAAGGAGTTCTAGGCATAAGATGATAGGTGCTTGACCTGAAGAGCTTGCAATCTATGTCTTTCTATACATTTACAGTGCCTAGCGCATTATATGCGGTAGTACAATACAAATGGAGATTAAATGGGAGAAGGAAATCGGATGCAACACATTTTCCCCTTTCTTTTGCAATTTAAAAAGAAATCTTCACTCTTTCTTGTCTCTGCCTAATTTGCCCAAGTGTTATGTATATACATACACGTACAATATAGATCAATCAATCCGCCTTTTCTTTTCAATTGGTATACACATACAGGAATCTGTTGAAGTTAACTGAAATGTGTCTTAAATGTGAGTTATTAGATACTCACTTATGCTTTTAATTTTCAGTTACAAATGTTAAAAAGGGGGAGATTGACCACATTAAAAAGAGGGCCACTAACAAATACATAGCTATAGGTAACAAGCTATTGAAAGTCATAACTGCACCAATACCTTTAAATCAAAAGCTTTTCTTTACATGTTGAAGGGATATATAACTGCAGAGGACTGTGACATGATGTATAAGTAAGAGGTTAATCGACACCTCTTAAATCACTGCATTATATCCTTTCATAGATACAATGTCACAATTTTGTATGATGCATGGGAATCACAGAAGTTTGGACTTATCCCTTGCTCCTCCCAAAAAGCCAGGGAGAGGTTAGTTATCTGGGGCATGAAGAGTACTGACACTTTAACAAGTACATTCATGTACGTGATCCAAATTATTTTAAACTTGGAGTACAGCCCAGAACCATTATATTTAATAAGTTTTAGGTAATTAATATTTACCTGATGCGGAGTACTTGTGGCACCTTAGAGACTAACAAATGTATTTTGTGGGCTAAAACTCACTTCATCGGATGCATGAGTTTTAGCCCACGAAAGCTTATGCCCAAATACATTTGTTAGTCTCTAAGGTGCCATAAGTACTCCTTGTTCTTTTTGCCAATACAGACTAACACAGCTACCACTCTGAAATATTTACCTGATGAACCATTAAGGACTGAACTTGACGTTTGAGAACTTGCATTCTAGCTGTAGTGACAACGGAGCGGACGTCTGGTACCACACTTTCACTCAGTATCTCACTAATCAGACGGTGGTTCCTTTGGAAGCGGGCTGTAGCTGTGTGCTTCATAGAAAATCCATCATCATAATCTGAAACAAAAATTTAACAAATTAGACAAGTCAAGCGGCAAGTCTCATTAAAATGTATCCTTAAAATACATGGCAGTTTTCAATTCAACCAGGAACAAAACTGCTGCCATGACACCATGAATAAGTTTATGTACAAAAATACTAGAATTACAGAGCAGTAAAATAATCAAACAAACTCAATTTGGAGACACAGTATTTTATGGGCTGGGAGACAGCAGAGCATGGGAGCTATGATTTTAGCCAGATCTCCCACACGGCTACAAACTGATCTATTCTCTTTAAACAGCAATTATCAGTGCCTATGCCAACGCACTACTTTTAATTTGTTAAGAACAAGAGAGATAAACACACTGATTATTCAAACTCTGATAATGAAACTTCACAATTTCTGGTGCTCACTACAATAAATTCCTCATTAAAACACAGACGAGAGTTCAACGAAAGTAAACTTTGTGCCTCAAACCTAAAGGGCTGAGCACCTGCAGCACCAACTGACGTAAACAGAAATGGCAGACGCTCTGCCACTCAGGCCCTAATGTAAAAAAGCCACACTAACAAAACCTACTCTAAGTTTGTTCACAGAAGCCAAGCAATTAATTAGCAAAAATCACTTGCTGGAAAAAAAAATTGAGATAAACATGCATTAGAAGAAAGTTATAGGTTAACAAATGTCAAGTGCTAGTCTCCTACAAGCTTCTTGAGGGAGGAGAAGAAAATACCAGAGAAAGGTTTGGTCTCAAGCCTATGACGAACTGCCTTTTTTTCATACGTTTGTAGAAGAGCTACCCCAAAAGGTATATGACAGACCAAAGACATTTTTTCCTTAATTAAAATGGAGCTTTAGCTATGTGGCAAAATAGGAGTTTAGGCAGATGTTATTCTGAGGATTACATGTAACTATTTGTGAACAGGGCCGGCTCCAGGCACCAGCTTGTCAAGCAGGTGCTTGGGGCGGCCGCTCCGGAGAGGGGCGGCACGTCCAGGTATTTGGCGGCAATTCAGCGGACAGTCCCTCACTCTACCTCGGAGCGAAGGATCTCCCGCCGAATTGCCGCCACAGATCGCGATTGCGGCTTTTTTTTTTTTTGGGGCTGCTTGGGGCGGCCAAAACCCTGGAGCCGGCCCGGTTTGTGAAACTGTTGTATTAACCAAATATTACTGAATGTACTAGATATTCACTTTAAAAAGCAGAACAACATTTTGAGAACACACCAGAAAAAAAAAAAATCTCCAAGATTATTAAGCTGGTTCTCTTATTTTAGGATTTCTCTACAGGAATGTTTAGTTCAGGGCAAACAAATGGGTCAGTCTACCCTGCACTAGCCTGCCACAGTCTGATGTCTGTTTGGAAACAGCTGATGCGCATTATCAATTCATTAATGCACTATGATCTATTCCTGTTTCAAAATGGATTAGCTCAAAGCACATGAACAGACTGCTAATGTGTCTCAGCAACATCCACAAGTACAGTTAAGACTGCAGGCTAGTTGAGCTACATTCCCACTCCAGCTTGCCACACACTAAGTTTTCATGACAACATGCCCGTCGTGTTTTCAATAGTCCCATCACTGTAATATCAAAGAGGTTTAAGGGATGATAGTCCTCCTATGCTTTCATTTTCTATCTTCACTGTCATCACTGAAAAATCTTTTCCCATCTCCTTGAAATGTCTAAGTTCTGTTTATGTTACACAACTTTCCCAGTTATGGGACACGTGTGGAGATTGTTGCTCCACTCTTCACAAAACTGGAGGGGAAAAAATTAAAAATAAATTCTGTTATGCCAGAAAGTATTATTGAGATGGCCAATTTTGATTGAAACTCATCAGACTGAATATTGCTTTTCTGGAAGAGAGAAAAAAAAAAACAGTTTCACATTTGGGACGTATAAAGTATTAGATTAATTTGAAAATAAAAATAAAGTGGAAAATAGTAGGAAATGTGGCAAAGAGTTATTTCCGCGATTTTCAGGCCAACAGGGACCTTTATAATCATCAGACCTAGAATTGCACCAAGTGATTCCTGAAAGAAGCCCATAACGTCTGGTTTTTGCACCAGAACACATCTTTTAGAAAGCCATCCAATCCTGATTTAGACTTCAACTGACTGAAATTTGTATGTGGTCGATTCTCTATTGTTTTACTACCCTTGCTGTTAAAAAAATGCTTAATTCCTACTCTGAATTTGTCTAGCTTCAGCTTCCAACCACTGGATCTTGTTATAGCTTCATCTTCTAGACTAAAGAGCCTTCTACCATTAGAAAACTACAATCGTCAATATGTGATTTCAGCGTGAGATTGCAAGTCCCTTTCTATGCTGTCAAATGGTGGACCAAGTTCACACTTAACAAACAAGTATAACCCACTTCAGTGGGAGTGGCCCCTGGTTATATCGGAGTTGAATTTGACCGAGGGATAATCAGGTTGAACAGTAGGCCGTGAAATGCCAATTGCTAAAAAATCCCAGGCACATTCATGTGTTTTACACAGCTTATGCTGCACACAGCGGAAAGTGCTGTTTACCATGGGAATTATCTCGTGGCTGTGCTTGTTTGGGGGTGAGGAGGGAGAAGAGGAGGGGTCATTGCCTGGCTGCATTTTTCATCCTCAGATTTCAACAGTCAGCCTTTTAGCATCATTTTAAAAACTGAAATTGACAAGATCTTTGTGTGACTTTTCTCAGTGGGTGAGATATGGATGCCAAAGTGGTATTTCCTTTCAATTAGAGAAAATGTTTTGACAGTTTCTTCATTAAGTTGCACTGTGTGTTAAAAAGGCTTCTGTCAACTTCTCAAGTTCAGCTGCTTAGGTGTGTTCAATCGCCATATGGAATAAGTCGAAAGACAACAATTAAGTAGAGTCTGCCAGAACTACCTGCTGCGACTATTATTAAAGTTCAACATTTCATTCAAGTAGGACTGGTGGAGCCCTATGAAGTATAAAGTACTGCACAGACTACAAATAGGTCTATGGATTTTGTCACTGAGATCACAGAAAATGTGAATTTGAATAAAAAGTCAGTTAAATCTTTTAGAAATGGCTGTAAAAATACATACGATTAGGCCCCCACATCAAGTGTTGCCACCTGGTTCATATGCTAGATTGCAAAGCCAATCAAATTTGACCCATCAGCTCCTCCATTTCCATTTACGGAGAGGCAAATGGGACAAAACCTGAGTGGCACTGCAACCCCATGCACAAGGTTACAATGATCAGACAGGGACAGTAGCTGCAGCATGAGCTTGCTCCCAGTCTTGTGTATGTTGCTGTAGTGAAAGCTACATTTTTTAACCCCTGCATCTCTGCTGGGCAATTTAGAATGGAAATTTTTAGCAAAATTGTAGCCTAAACCACAAATAACCATCGACTTGTCAAGTCTGAAACCGGCTATTTGAAAATATTTTTAACAGGGGTGCAACCCACAACATTAGAGGTTTACAAGAACTTTAAGAGTAGCCTGGCTGCTGATGGTCAATTCAGTCTTAAGGTTAAGAAGAACAGTTGTGTCACCTTAACTTGTAGTTTGAGGTAAGATGATTCTGAAAGTTTAGTACTAAAGTTATACATTTAGTATTTTCTTTGTTACATGGTGTGCAAGTGTTTCCCATTATAGTCCAGGAGTAAGTCAGTGAAATATTAACAGTTTTTAATACCAAGGGAATAAACAAAACAGCTGCCTGAAACTTACTCTAGATTTTATGTCCTAAGGTAAAAATATACACCTCACCAAAAGTGTATACAAATCTCCTTTCTGCTTACCATCTGGGTCTTCTGCTGGCTGGATGCTCATATAAGGTTCACCTTTCTCCATGCGTGATTGCCTTTGTCGGCTTTCTTCCTCTAACGCAGCCTCAGCCCGACTCTTTGCGTTGATGTAGGCAAGGTAAGCTGGCGAGTTATGGTAGGCCTTCATGGATTCATTGTACTCTATCTGAAATTTAACGGATAGTTTTTATTGAAATAAAAACTATCTATTGTACCCTGGCAGCCCTGTTTTGCTTATTGACATCGGTCAAATATCCAAAAGGACAATTTGGTATAAACGATTTGCCTCCCTTTCTAACGCATTTCTCTTTTAGGTACATACACTCAGAGACTAAGGCCAGAAGGGACCATTGCAATCATCTAGTTGATCTCCTGCACATCACAGGCCATGGAACCTCCCCCTTGCACTCCTGCAATAGACTCAGAGCCTTTGGCTGAGTTACTGAAGTCCTCAGATCTTGATTAGAAGATTTCAAGTTATAGAGAATCCATCATTTAATCTAATTTAAATCAGCAAGCAACCCATGCTACCGAGGAAGGCAAAAAATCCCAGAGTCTCTGACAATCTGATCTAGAGGAAAATTCATTCCCAACCCCAAATATAGCGATCACTTAGACTCTAAGCATGTGGGCAAGACCCACCAGCCAGATTCCTGAGAAAGAATTATCTGTAGGGGAAAGAATTACACAAACCTCTTTCATATTGCTCTTGATTTAGGGTGCACTACTAATCTGAGTGGTGGTGGGGCACCTACACACAAGAGTCAAGAAGAATTTAATTCTGGGAAGTCTAATGCTATCCTCACTGCTATGATTAAAGATTAAAGCTTGCAAGCAATTCTTTGTTTTGTCTATAACTACTGTAGAGACATCCCATGTTTCCAATTCTATCACTTCCAACTACTTTACACATCTAAAAATCCTGAGAGTTAACCTTGATCCTGATGTCCTCTCCTCCCTCCCCCCAATACCTCTTATCTCAGAGCCTGCTTATCATTTCCTCCAGGACAGGCCAGAACCATTTTTTATTTTTGTCAATTCCATCATCATGTATTAAAAATCCCACTTTTCATTCTTTTATTGTGTTCTTCAGTCCCTCCCTACACGTGGCTAGGGGTGATCCAGACAGTCTATTTTCTCACTTCAGGTAGCAGAATTGTATCACTACACCTTTGCACTTATCTTGGTCGAATTCAGTTCTCCAATTTGTCAAAGTTGTTTTGAATTCCTTCCCTGTCCTCCAAAGTACTTGCAACCCTTCCCAGCTGGGTGTCATCTGCAAATACTTAAGCATACTTTCCACTCCACTCCATTATTCAAGTCATTAATGAAAATATTTAATAGTTCCGGACCCAGGACTGACCTCTGGTATAGATACCCCCTCCCAGTCTGACAGCAAACCATTGATAACTACTTTTTTTGAGTACAGTCTTTCACTTGTTTTGAGATGCTCTGTATTAAAGGTCAGTTATACTGTACGATACTGCTGTATGTACCCAAAGGTGTCTTTAACTTTTACTAAATTAGTCCTTTTTATTGAGTTAAAAAGTAGGAATCCTTGATTTTGCTTCAAATGGCAGAACCCTAATTTAAAATAATGTTTCTGTTCTTTAAAAACAGAAAGGTGGTACTTTGGATGAAAACAGTTCTAAGCACCTATTTGACCAGGTGACCTATGACCTCAGATGCTGCAATTTTAACACAACACAAGAGATGTCAAACTAACAGCTTGTAATTGTCCTACATAGCTGTGGATATCTATGACTGTAGCAGCCTTGCAAAACTCTTTAAAACTATCAGCATGGACAGAAAATATATTATTGCCCTTTGCCATGATGATCAATAATGAAAAACTAGTGATATTTTACTTGCCCATCAAAAAACAACAAAAACAACATTCTGGCAGAGTAAAATTTTGCAAGGCTGTACCATGGAAACCAATTCTTACACACATTCATAACTGACCAGCTGTAGCTACAGGGAATCAGTTTTGAAAGAGGATTTTGGTGTGGAAAAAAATCAAGTCCATTCAGTTAAAATTCCTATTCAATATAAACATTTCATTTTGAGTAGGGTCTAAAAACTGAAGTCCCTGTTGACATACGATTATGATCAAGAGGCTTATCAGTACATACAGGGCTTAGTAAATGACATACACAAGCCACCATATAGGAAAGATGAAATTTGATTCTCAGGGTAGTTTCTAGAATAAAAACATCAAACACCACAGGATGGAAGACAATGTGGGGAACAATCCTAGAAAGGACTAGATGACCTAAGTAGTTATTTTCTATTTATGTGTACTGTGAAATGTTACAAGGCCCTAATTCAGCAAGGCACTTAAGCATATGCTTAACTTAGAGCGTGAGAATACTCTATTAACTTCAATGGGACTACTCATGTGCTTAAAGATGGGCACATGCTTAACTATCTGGCTGCACTGGGGAACAAGCTCAACTCTTCTATGACAGTGGTGCCAGGGGCATAAGATGAAAGAATCAGCATTAATAACTAAAGATTTCATCCCTTTACCTTTTCTGCTTCATATTCATTCAAGTACTCTTGTTTCTCCTCATCAGTGAGATCTCGCCACATCCCACCAATGATCTTGCCAATTTCCCATAACTTCAAGTCAGGGTTGGATGCCTTCACTTGATCCCAGACCTTAACAGAAACAGCTGGCGCTTTACTACTGACATGCAAACACTTCCAAATTAAATGTTTTATGGTATCATCTTAGTATTCTTTCAGAAAAGATCACTATAAAACCAAGCTATATTAAGTAAAAGTCTGGCTACCTCCAGTGATTACTTTTTGGGGCAGGAAGACAGTAGTACAGTCATCTATTGAAGCTGGCAACAGCCAGATTTATTGACACCAGCTTCAGTTGTGAATCTTGCCCTGAAACCTGTGAATTCTATTCCAAAATGCACATCACTGTATCGCTGGGAAAAAATTAAACATATTACCAGGCAAACACATCAAGCAACATTTATGTTCAGACACATGACAATGTGCATTGAACTTTTAAGATCAGAACTTGGACTTTCGTGTATTCAAGAAGTTTTCAGTCATATTGATCACTTTCAATTCCAACAAGTTCTGATTCCATCAAAACCCAGTTTCTAACTTTATATAAAGAAAGCAAGCTGTCAGTGTTATTACTTGCTATGTGTGATTAGGAATACCAGATATGAGGGGTGGGAGGGCTGTTGGCTTAATTCAGGCTGCTGGTAAAGACACTTTACCAGAAACAGGAAGGCATGTATATTTCCTTCTGGCTCACCCACTCCTTGAAACTGGATCACACGCCCTTCCCATGCAGAATCAGATTCCAGACTCTTCACAATATTCAATTTCCCATTGCCTCTCAAACAGTTCACAGAATAATGAAGTAGTGCTACAGGTTAGTAGGTGAACACACATTTCTCCCACTGCTACTCTTCAAGTCTAGCTACAGCACCATACTATGCCACAATGAGCACTTTCTATACAGAGGAAGTGCTGACAATACGTGGATCCTTGACAGCAGGGACAACGGTAGTTAATAACCATTTCAAAGAAAAATCTTAATTTCCCCTCCCCTAACCCTGTAGATAAAAAAACAAAACGTCACACAGGAAAATAGAGGGTGCTGACCTTTTGTTTTGGGGATAATTTTGTTTTCCTAGAAGGTGTTTACCATATGGTTAAACCATTGTTGCTGTTACTCTGATGGGGAAAGCAACTGTGTTTTAAAATTCCCTTTATGAATAAGTAAACTCTGCAGGTTGTTAGAATTTAACAGAGTTTAGAAGTTGAAACTAAAATAACTAATCAATTGTTGGCATAAACTTAACCTTTAATGCTACTTATTCAACCTAGATCCAAAACACTGTGTACCCACCTTCCTGCTGTACCTCATGTAGGGCATCAGAGGCTTATCTGGTGGCTTTGGGGGTTTGGGAATTGTAATACCAGAGGAAGCCTATAAAAAACAAAAACAAAATGGATAAATCCATTTCTTAACATGAAAACTAGGCAATTTCAATACACAGTAGTCTGGGAATATAGATACTCTTGTATATTAAATACATGTACAGGTACTATAACTGGTCCTCATAATAATTTGCAAAATTCCCCCTCCCCCGGCCCCAAATGTATTTGTCCAAGTATTAGTTTGAAAAAGGTTATTCAATAGAAGTCCAAAAAGGGACAGTTTTCTCAAAACCAAAAGAGTCTAAAAATTTGCTTCTGCTCACCAGTCCCAACAGTTTGTTTTCCTCAATTTTGATGAGAATCACTGTTATGGTACCTGCTCTGATAACTAAAGAAATTACTACTGGGAAAAGGATAAGGAGAAAGTATGAAAGAGCAGGAAATTATCTAGACATTCTTTCATTCAATCCGTCTCAGAAATACACTTCTTCCACGAAATCTTTCAATGGGAACTTGGGAGTCAATCCAAATATTTAAAAAAATCCCTATGAGACTGATCCCTCAACCTGTGCATCATTTGTGTCCGAATTGTATTGTTCTTGTCCAAATTAGATTGTGAGCTCCTTGAGAGACCTTGTCTTCCTTTAGGTTTGTACAATGCCAAGCACGTTGCCTGCACTTAAAAAAAAAAGACACTAAACAGTAATTGTTATTGATTGAAAGCTGTAGCATCCACTTATTCTTCTGTTCTCTTCCATCTACACACCATCTCAGTTAAAAATAGTGCATTTATAACAAGACAAGGTTTGTTCCTCCTGGAATAGTATACTGACATCATATAGTTTGTAAAAGCTGTAGATTCTAAAGGCCCCAATCCTGCAAACACCCGTGAGCAGTTCCATGGGATTATTTTCATATCTAAAATTAATCAGACTCAAAGAAGTATTAGCAGGATTGCGGACTGCGGTTCCACACTTGAAAATGGCCAAGAAGGTTAATGTTCAGTGTTTTTGCTTTCAGTATTTTTAATCTGGATAATTTTATGTTTCACTACATTTATGAAGTTCTATGAAACAATGCATACATACTTGCATAGAGTTATAATGTACATGAGGTGTATGCATTACCAAATGTATACATATATACACACAGAGATGGATTTGAAAAACATTAACTGAAACTGTTTAATGCTTTTAAATTAACAGGAATTTAAAGATACCATACATATTGACATATGCATGGCAGAGAAAGCTGTATATGCTTATGACATACAGAAACAATGAAAATTCTGACAAATCTAACCTATTCATGTATTCAGTAACATAAATGTAAGTTCAGACACTACGTTCAATCAAACGCCAGCTCATATCTTCACTACAGGGCAAGGGGTCTTTTCTTTAGGCACCTTATTAAACAAGCTGAATTTACGGAGTTTTAAAAGGTATACTGAATTAAACAGCAACATCTATGGATTAACTGACAAATTCTTATTTGTATTACACTCTGAAGAGGCTAGAAGTTGTGTAGATAAATTTTATACCTTCAGAAAGAAATTACATAATATAAAAATGATTTTAATTTTTAATAATTTAAAAGAATACTGTAGGTCTTCACCTAATATTAAATGTAAAAACTGTAAAGTGTGCATTTAAAAGTTTTATTTTCTTTCTTGCCTGTATGTGAATCGTGTTCTGCATCTTCACTCAAGCTCAGAGGTGCCCCATATCAGTACATTTCCTCTCACTTTATGCCAAGTATTCCTTAAAGGGTCTACAAAGCATCCACATTTCATCCAGCCATAGAGGACAGAAAGCAGGCTCCCTCCTATTTTATCGACACCACTCATTTGGCTGGAGAAGTCACTGTTGAATCTGGAGATCTGATACTAACCATACAAAGTAAGACGGGAATGGAAAATAGAAACATGGGTTCCTTACACGGCACAATAGTGCGATGTAATCACCAGTTACAATTTCTAGTTTGGAACTTGTCTTTCCTCTCGTTTCATGCCTATAATCTCAATAAAATTTATAATTCCCTCCCTCCAAGAGGAAAATATAATCCACACCCATACTTAAGGTTCTTTCCTTAAACGTGCAGTGATCACTGAGGCTTCAAGCCATGGAATTCCAAAAAGAAAGACTTTCCCCATCTCAGATGGGAATAATAGATCTCTCTCCATCTATTACACAGAAGCTTATTTTCCAGTACAAGGCTTCACAATGAAAGGGGGGAGGTAGGAGAGGGGAGAAGATGGGGGGAAAAAATCAGAGTTAATTTTCTCTCTTTATAAAAGTGGCAGCAGCCAAGATTCAGAAGAACCTAACTCTAAAGCCATTTCTGGTCAATTCCTGTTGTTTGCCGGATGATGTAATAGTTGATTCTCCTACCGTGACCCGGCTGTTGGTGCCCGGGTTCCCTCCCAGCCTGTAGTTGTTGTAGGCCAGATGGCTGTATGGATTGTATCCCACAAACCCTGGTGTGCTGGGCATTTGCTGATGGAAACAAATGAGACAAAAACACGAATGAGAAATGAGCTCAAACGAGGAAAACACAGAAATGAAAATGATCTGCAATATGGCATGCAAAAACAACTAGAATTTAAACAAGCAAATGAGGTGTAGCAGTTGGTTTCCTCTCAACATGTGAAGTATTCCAATAGAAACCTGTTCAGGAAACAGGATTTTTAGCTGAACGTGTTACAACTGTCATCTGATGTTTTATTATCAGGCGTGCAAACTTTTAACACAAGTGTGCCATACATCCTGCTTATGGCTATTAAAGTTTGCAAACTTTTCATAAGTGGCCAAACAATTCAGGAAGAATCTAGTATCCAACGAAACAAAAGAATTTAACATACAAAGCACTACAGTCCACATGATTATGTGGAAATCACCAATGCCATCATTCATTATATGCACCAATGGAAGAACAGGCTATTGATCAAAAACGTAAAAAACCCTTGATACTGATAGTAGCAGGACAGTGCAATCTGTGGACCAACAATGGCGTATGAAGCTATTCCTGCAAAATTAAATGTTTTAGGAATTATGCACCAGGGGGTACCAGGGGATTTGATTAGATGGCTGGAAGAGGTGGTGATCCATAGAGGTATCTTTCCCTTATGAAGTAGTCTGCAGAATTAAAGAACTGGAGAACCGCTGCAATGGAATATACATGTTAGATACATTTTTTGTAGTTATCTCATCAAATCACACATTGCTAACTGCACATCTGAGATCACTCTTTAAAAGACTTGCTTATTTGACTAAAGAAAGTAGCACATCTAAAAATGAACATGAATAAACAAACACTGCATTCATGGAGAGTCCCACTGAAATCAATGGTGTTCCACGCATATGCAAGGACCTGCATGCACAGAACTGATTGCAGGATCAGGGCCTGTCACATCTGAACATTAATATAAAACCAAGTAAGGTATTTGCAGAGCAAAAAAAAAATTTTAAATAAAAAACTTTGGACTCAAGCTGTCACCCAACTGGCACGCTAATGCAAAAATAGTCTTAGCCCGCAAATTTATATGGGAAAGTTTACAAATTTTGTTGACATCAAATATATATTTCCTGCTCTCCAACCTCTTTAAATGTGGACTTTGGTTTAATAATAAAAAAACATTACATATTTTCTATTTTGTAGTCACCGTCTACAGAACTGGGAAAAAAGTAGATCCTAGGAGCACTAATATAATTAAAAAGTCTATCGACATTTTCTTTTGCAAGCCATTTCACTTGTGCCTGTTTACTCTTCTATAAAAAGCGGATAATACTCCCCCCCACACACACACACCCTCCCAATCACAAAGCATTGTGATGTTTAAATTTGTAGAGTGTTCCTGTCATCGGATGCAAGTTGTTATAGAAGTATAAACATATTTTCAGATGCTTTCCTGGCCACATTATGTCAAGAAAGATTGGATATTATATCATAAAATTTTCCAGGTAAGTACTCAACAGATTGGTTCCTTTGCAAACAGAAGCACTTACCTTATACTATGTAGGAAACTTTATTCACACAATGCTCACATTACAAAACGCCACGGATTTCAATACATTTGAGTAGTAAGATTTTCATCATGAGGGTTCCATTATTCTGACCCAATATAAATGAAAGTTTGCATAATTCTACATAACTGTGTGAATGTCACTGAAAACAAACTATACATACAAATTTAAATTCACTGTAAAAAGTACAAAAAATTATGTTCAAAACTTGGACCGACATTAAGCTTTTAGAGGCAAGAAAGTTTAGCCCTTAGTTTACTGTTATATCGAATTGGAATATTTACAATGGATACATGGATATCAGGCCCAAAGCCTAGAAACATTCACCACTGTATTTAACTTTACTCATGTAGGTAGTCCCATTGGCTTCAATGTAAAGTTAAACACAAATTTAAGTGTTTGAAGGATCTGGCCCTAAGTATTGAGTGAATCAGTTTCCCCACCACTTTTTAAAATTCGGAGGTCAATTTAATTTAAATGCTGAATGTCATTTCAACAGTTCAGTGCAAGTAGTTTTATATTCATAATATTTTAATATTGATAGCTGTGACTACCAAATTATTGTCTTAAAAGCCAGACTACTAGATTTGTGTTAATGTGAAAATTCGTTATACTTACGGTTGTGGGAGCAGGGGTGGGAGGTGGGGCATAGGATGGCCTTTCTGTTTAAAAAGACAAAAACAAATACATAACTTCCTGACAACTCAGATATATTATGCATACGGTATCCAAAAGTGTACTAGGCACACAACAATAATTTGGTAAGAAACTTATGATCCCTGTCCCAAAGAGTTTACAATCTACATTGACAAAATAAAAAATAATAATAATAAAAAAAAAAGGAATGAAAGAAGAAGGGATGCATTTTAAAAAAGGCAACACCAGTGTCAGATTACTAACCTGTTATTTAGATGTACTGGGGTGGAGAGAAATGTAGGAAGAGAATTAAAAAAACCTGTGCTAGCCACCATGGAAATTAAAGCACACTAGACAAGAAAATGGATTTGAAATGTAGAGCTTGACATGTAACAGTATGCTTTAAGATGAAACAACTGTAGGCTAAATTTTACATTCAGTTGTGCAGCTCATCCCCTCCCCAAGTGGTTTCATTCATGGCTTTCAGTAGCATATAGCTGGCATTAAATAAAAGCATAGAGGGAGCACATCTTTTCCTACTTCATTTAGAAGTTGCACAAGAGTAACTGAGTGCAGAATTTAGTCCAAATTGCTTACAATATATATTTACTAAAGAAGGAGCAAATCTTGTCCCTTGGTGTGAAAGGTCCTGCCCACTGGAGGGGAAAATTGTGGGGACAAATGGTAAGGGAGTATGAATCCCGAAGCCCAACTCTATTGGTGATCAACGCATGCCACTGTGGTAGGCATGATGGGATGGGTCTTCTGCCACTATGGAGGACATATCCAGACGGCAGAGACTATTCCACCCTTAAGACTGGAGAAATGGCTACAGAGCAATTCTGCAGCGTGTTTCTTTCATCATTTGGACACAAATAAATCCTCAGTGCACAGCCCTGGCTCTGAGCTGTGGCAATATCTAGTACCAACTGATTGGTAGTTCACTTATAATTACTGTATATGGTAACATTCCTCTTAAAATGAGCTTGGTCCAGTAGCCCTTTCTCATGTGACAGCAATGGGATTATTCATATAAGTAAAGGCTGCTGAAACAGATCTTTACTTGTTAAATTAAAACAAAAACAACAACAAAAACTTACTTGACATTTTGGTAGATAAATTTTCAGCCCGCTAACATTCTATCTCAAACTCTGAAAGACAAAAAAGACAACACAACGTCAGACTGTTAAACAGAACAATTTTTGTTTTCATGAACCATTAAAATGAAGAGCATTATAACTAGAGCATCTACTTTTTAGGGTTTATTAATTTCATTGGGGGGGGTGTGGTTATTTTTAGCAATTTTGGGGTTTTATGTATATGTCCAATCAGTTTGGGGAGGTGGGGGGGAGCTCTTTGTATATACTGTAATGAGTAATCTGTGTAATGTTTCCTAATGTGCTTTAATGTAGTACAAACAATACCATGTTAAGTTTCAGAGTAGCAGCTCTGTTAGTCTGTATCCGCAAAAAGAACAGGAGTACTTGTGGCACCTTAGAGACTAACAAATTTATTTGAGCATAAGCTTTCGTGGGCTAAAACCCACTTCATCGGATGCATGCAGTGGAAAATACAGTAGGACCACTGCATGCATCCGATGAAGTGGGTTTTAGCCCACGAAAGCTTATGCTCAAATAAATTTGTTAGTCTCTAAGGTGCCACAAGTACTCCTGTTCTTTTTGTGAATACCATGTTAAAGCACACAAGGGAACCTTTAGCACACACCAGCAGGGTCTACATGGACCAGCTAATGTCAGTATGCTTTAGAAATCTCAGCCCTATAATCTGTACTACTGCTCCGTGTAGACAAGGTCTTAGATACAAGTAAGCATTTCCAATGTTTTTCCACAGTTTATTGGATAAACACAGATTTCATTTTTTTTTGGTATCAGGAGTGTTTTATTAATGTTTAAGAATATAAGAAGGGCCATACTGGATCAGACCAATGGTCCATCTAGCCAGGTATCCTGTCTTCAACAGTAGTCAGTACCAGAGCTTCAGGGGGAGCATATAGAACATGGCATTTGGAGTGATCCACCCTGGCTTCCTTTATAGGGTTCTGGAAATCAGAGCTTTAGAGCTGCCCCGAAGCATGGCATTACATCTCTGACAATCTTGGATAATAGTTATGGATGAGATTATTCTCCATGAATTTACCTAGTCATTTTTTTCAAAGCCAGTTATATGTTGGCCATCACAACATCCCCTGGGAATGATTTCCACAGGTCAATTGTGCACTGTGTGAAAAAGTATTTCCTCCTGTTTGTATTAAAGCTGTTGTTTACTGGTTAAAACCTAATTTAAGGAGTCCTAATTATAACCATGTATTGCAGGTAAAGTCACAAATTTGTCAGCTTTGAAGCGAAAGAAAAACAACTTTCCAGAAACTAGGTCTACATTTTCTTGTAGTGACTGACAAACTTTCTGTGAACTAGCTTGGCCCTTAAGGATGAACAACTAGAATGAAATAAACAGCTCTGAAACTGAAATCCAAGGTTCGTCTGATCTTCCTTGTAAAGATTTTACTTGTGCATCGCTTTTAATAAAAATCACAATACTATATATTGGATTTCAATCACTTGTCTTATACGGCTGGCTTCAAAGACTGGATATGAATGCAGGAGTGTGCACATATGGTATCCTAAATAACATTATAAAATATAAACAAGTTCATAGTAATACATTGTCACATGGCTAAACTGCCCCTCAGCGTAACAGAAAAAGCAAATGTACCTATTAGAGCTAGTAATGTCATGGTCAATGAGAGCTGGGCATGTGCAACCGGTTGCAGGAGTGAACCCATATATGTAAAATGCTCTGTAAAATAACAGCAATATCCTGCTAGCCTCTCTCATGAATTAAAGCTATTGAAGACTTAAGAGAGCAAGATTTGGGCCCAGTCCTGTAAACGCTCAGCATTTGACATTAATAATGTTTATGGCATCAAATACTAAAACTGCTAAACACGTGCTTCAATTTTGAACGTGTGATTATTCCCACACATAATGGACTACTTATGCACATAAAGTTCCATGCATGCTTGAGTATTTTTATGCCCAAGGCCTACAGATGGACTGCACTGTTGACAACACTAGACAACTTCCCAAACAAAGTCCAGTGAAAAGAATGCTTACACATATCAATTCTAAATGGAGACCCTGCTCCAGAGTAACAGAAAGATCTCATTACTCATCCAATTTTGGGGAGACTGGGAGGGAATGTGCTAAATATACAAATATAATATGCAATATGCAAATGCCACCCCCCCCTTTTTAAAAGGCAGCAGATTCTAAGCACTCGAGTGATAAAAACACAAGCATGTCACTTCTAACCACAGGGTTTCAAACCTTGATAGTTTTACTCCAATCAGTAACATGGTACCTTAGAAAATAAGACCCACTTCAAAAACCGCCTAAATACAGCAGGAGAACTTGCTTAGGGGAGATAGTACTTGCCTCCTTCTCTACCACTTTTGGGATGCATGTTGGGGATGGGGCAAGAAATGTTTTTGATTGCCTTTCCCCCCTCCCCCATGGAGGGGTGTGTGTGTGTGGGTGGGGGGTTGGCTCCCCCCTCCCCCATGGAGCGGTGTGTGTGTGTGTGTGGGGGGGGTAGCTCCCCCCTCCCCCATGGAGGGGTGTGTGGCTCCCCCCTCCCCCATGGAGGGGTAGCTTCTCTCTCCCCCGGCCATGGGCGTGTACGCGGGGTGGGGATCGGCTCCGTCTCCCCCTCAGCCCTTCCCCATCCCCCTTCGGAGGCTCAGGCTCCGCCGAGAGGCCGCGTGGCTCTGTGATTCCCGGGGCCCGAGCCCCAGCACCTGCCGGGCCGGTGCTGCAGGCCCCACTCCCACGCGCCGCCCAGCCTCTCGCCGCCCCTCGGAGACTCACCCGCTCCAGCACCGGCCTCGGCCCCTTTGTTCCCAACCAACACCGAGCGACTGGGGGTCCGGGCAGCAGCGGGAAGCCACCTGCCCTTCCGCCTCAGCACATTCCACACGGCGTCCCAGCGGCCCCGCTCCCTTGCTCCCTCCCCAGGTTTATTCCGAGCCAGACACCTTCGTACGTCACCCGGGGATTTTTATCGTCTACAATAAGGGCAGGGGGCGGACGGTTATTCTATGGCGAATCTGAAGAGCCGAGCGGGTAAAGAAAGCCAAGCGAGGAGCCGCTTCGCCGGGCCGGCACGCATGCCACGTGACGTGACGTGCGGCACCCGCAAAGCGAACGGAGCGACGCAAGGCGAGCCTAGTGACGTATCAGGCGGAGGTCAGAGACCACGTGATGCGCGGCAGCTGGAGGGGAGGGGAGGTGGTGTTCGGAGCGTTGGTCCCGCCCGGCTTGTACGTTCGTCTCGTGCCTCAGGGGAGGGGTGGGGGAGGAGGAGCTGGGTTTGGCGCCTTTTTCTTTCTCGCGGCTGTTAGCCTCGCGCCTCCCGCCTGGCAGCCGTCGCTCGAGGAGAAGGCCGCGAATGGGCTTGGGCGCCTTTTCCCGCCTGCGAGCGCTGCCCCTGGGGCTCCCCTTTCCTAGGGTCCTGTCAGCTCCCCCTTTGCGCCTCAGGGCACAGCGCGTGCAGGCGCTACAGCTCTGCCAGACCGGCCTCTAGCCCTGCATTCCCACACATGGCTGTGATGCTCATAGGCGGTGTCCCTGTGCCACACACAGGGTTAGTGCTCTGAGGCGCTACATCGGATGGGACTAGCATATGGTTATTTTGTAACCCAAGGGCGTGCCCCACTCAGCTATGACTCTAAAACGAGATGCCCCTGCTGAGGCAGTGCTGGACATGGTTACTATTAATTACTTGCATGAACTGATACAGTGTCTGAAGCTAGGTAGGGGGCTTGGTGCTGGCAGAAATAGGACCCAGCGTTTTCTCCTGGGCCTTCACCGTTTGTCTAAAGCAGATGTTGGTCACTGAAGAAATGTCACCTTTGCAAACAAATAGAAGGGCAAGGGCCCTGGCCTCACTGGTTCACAATCTGTGGCTACAATCAAGACTTGCTCAAGGACAAGGGATAAATCCATGACTTGCATTGGGCTACTAAAAGACAAAAGGAACCAACATACATATTTTATGATCAGCTGCATGAGCTTTTTAAACCAGCATTTCTATATCATCAGAACATTTATGAGAAAAAAATCTTTTTAAATGTGAAAAATACCATTTTACCCAGGTTTTGCCCTGCTGTTAGTAAAGAAGTTCATGGAGAAAAGTGCAGGTAGCAGTTAGTGTGTGAGAGGTGGGACTAACATCCATGAATCCTGGCTTTCAGTCTTGGGCTCACACCATTACACCACACTTTTCTCTCCAATCTAGCAATAACATGATTTTGAGGATATGAAAAAGCTAAAATACTGAGAGAGATGCCTTAGATATGGTCATGTGCGTCTAGGTTTTTGAAATGTTTCTCATTGGCATTTGTATACTCTGGTCCCAATTGTGTAATATTTACGTGGTTGAGCACTTAACTCACGAGAGTAGTCCCACTGGAATTAGTGGGACTACGGGTTGTGAATAAATGTAGAACAATGCAAGTAAAAATTGCATAATTGGGCTTTCTGGTATTAATCTGTAAGGCTGTTTTTGCTAATGGGCTCATTTCTACCACGCTTACTCATACTGAATAGTAGTTGATACTGCAAGCATTTCCCCCTAGTCTTGAGAGGCCTACAAGCTAAGTAATGCACAATTTAAAATGAGAAAAGTTGGCAGAATCGGTCATAATGGCCATGGGCAGCAGCTATCACAGGCTGGAGGAGGTTGTGCCTCCCCAAACAGCCAGGTGTGGCCCCGCCCACACTCTCCCCCCTCCTCCGCAGGCTCCATCCTGCTTCCCACTCTGCAGCTCCCCCTGTGCCATGGCTCAGGCTGGGGCCGTGCCACCTGTCCTGGCGTTCCAGGCCTGGTGGGGCTGTGGCTCCAGCCTTGCCGCTTGTCCTCCCAGTGCTCCGGGACTGCATCCGCGCCCCAGTCCTCCTACCCTGTGCTGCCCTGGAGCTGTCATGGGATGAGAGGGAAGGTCCTCTCATGGATTGGTAACTGTTTAAAAGATAGGAAACAAAGGATAGGAATAAATGCGCGGTTTTCAGAATGGAGAGAAGTAAATAGTGGTGTCCCCCAGGGGTCCTATTCAACACATTCATAAATGATTTGGAAAAAGGTGTAAACAGGTGGCAAAATTTGCAGATGATACAAAATTACTCAAGATAGTTAAGTCCCAGGCAGACTGCGAAGAGCTACAAAAGGATCTCACAAAACTGGGTGACTGGGCAACAAAATGGCAGATAAACAACAAGGAGTCTGTTGGCACCTTAAAGACTAACAGAGGTGCCACTGGATTCCTTGTTGTTTTTGTGGGTACAGACTAACACGACCACCCCCTGATACTTGATAAAATGGCAGATGAAATTCAATGTTGATAAATGCAAAGTAATACACAATGAAAAACGTAATCCCAACTATACATATACAGTGATGGGGTCTAAATTAGCTGTTACCATTCAAGAAAGAGATCTTGGAGTCATTGTGCATAGTTTTCTGAAAACATCCACTCAATGTGCAGCGGCAGTCAAAAAAGTAAACAGAGTGTTGGGAATCATTAAGAAAGGGATAGATAATAAGACAGAAAATATTATATTGCCTCTATATAAATCCATGGTACACCCACATCTTGAATATAGCGTGCAGATGTGGTCGCCCCATCTCAAAAAAGATATATTGAAATTGGAAAAGGTTCAGAATAGGGCAACAAAAATGATAAGGGGTATGAAATGGCTGCCATATGAGGAGAGATTAATAAGATTAGGACTTTTCAGCTTTGAAAAGAGATGACTGAGGGGGAATATCATAGGGGTCTATAAAATGGCTGGTGTGGAGAAAGTAAATAAGGAAGTGTTGTTTACTACGCATAAAACAAGAACTAGGGGTCACCAAATGAAATTAATAGGTAGCAGATTTAAAACAAACAAAAGGAAGTATTTTTTCACATAACACACAGTCAACCTGTGGAACTCTTTGCCAGAGGATGTTGTGAAGGGCAAGACTGTAATGGGGTTCAAAAAAGAACTAATAACTTCATGGAGGATAGGTCCATCAATGGCTATTAGCCAGGATGGACAGGGTTGGTGTCCCTATCCTCTGTTTGCAAGAAGCTGGGAATGGGCGACAGGGGATGAATCACTTGATTATTACCTGTTCTGTTCATTCCCTCTGGGGCACCTGGCATTGGCCACTGTCGGAAGACAGGATACTGGGCTAGATGGACCTTTGGTCTGTCCCAGTATGGCCGTTCTTATGTTCACCTACCGTCCCGGTGCTCCGGGGTTTGGGGGGCTAGCCTGGGGCAGAGGCCAGTGGCTGCAATTGCGGGGCTCTGGGCTCCGGCGGCGGGGACGGGACACGGAAGGGGTGAGGCCTCGGGCAGAAGGGGTGGAGCTGGGGGCTATCCTCCTCCAGCTGGTGGTTCACGTGCTGCCTATGGTAATGTCACGTCCTCTCCCCAGTTAGAGATAGTCATTGAAAAAAAAATATGGGGAGAGGCAAGGAAGTAAGGAGTTGGGCTGATGGTTGGACATTCGAAGAAAAAGGTCAAGGAGTGAGGACAGCATAAGAGAAAAAAATGAGAGAAGACAAAAGAGCAGAAAATACAGTAGAGTGGAAAACTCCAAAGGATGAAGACACAGTGTAGGGACTGAAGGAGATAAGCAAGAATAGGTATTGGAGGACTTAGAGTGTGGAGAAAAAATTAGTGGAGCTTTCAAGGGACAGGGAAGAAAGCAGTCACTGGGTCGTGGATAAATAAATACCGTCTTCTTCCCACATGCCCTTTATTGTAATTTAGGTCCTGTGTTTTTCGTTCTGAAAATAGGTTAACTCTGCAGCTCCTGGAAGAGGGAATGTACTTCATATATTCTTTTACCAGAAAATATCTACTTCCACAATGATGAAGGGACAGCCTGTTCCCCAAGATCCTGCATCTAGAGATGGGAGGCTGCCACTGGTCTCCATCAGAAGATCTCAGTTGTTAAAGAACCTGAGAGGTCTTAATTGAGAATGCAGGCAGGAACGAGAGGAAAAATTAAATATAACAGGAACTGCTGTTAAGTCTGTCAATGAGGTATAATGGGTATTTGAAATGTTTACTCCATCTCTTAAAGAAAGAAATAGCTTGTTGGGTCACCTGTCAGTTCTGGTGACTCGAAGACTGAATAGAGATTTGATTGGCACTGAAGATGCTTTATGTGATTAAATTGGATATCAAAACTTGAAAACAAGGAACAATGAAAATGACTAGAACAATACAGGCCACTTCACCTTGAATGGTTCCTTGATATATGTGTTCACTGCTTATGCTAAACAAGGTGTTGCACCTTGTATTTAACTGTGACACTCTAAGGGCTTGTCTACACTGGCACTTTAAAGCGCTGCAACTTTCTCGCTTAGGGGTGTGAAAAAACACCCCCCCCGAGTGCTGCAAGTTTCAGTGCTGTAAAGTGCCAGTGTAGAAAGTGCACCAGCGCTGGGAGCTATTCCCATCGGCAGCCCAGCCCCGTTCGTTCCCCTGCGGGACGGGGGGGCTGGGGCCTGCTGCCCCCACTCCGGGGCCACCGCAGGATAGCACCAGCTGGGCAGCAGCCCAGACGCGACTGGCCAGGGGCTGGGCGCAGCATGCGCGCTGTTGGGTCCCCGCAGCAGGCCCCGGCTCGGGGGGTTCGGGGCGCCAGAGCTGCAGTCCGCGGAGCGCCATGGCCGCTTCCTCCCCCGCGGCAGTCGGGAGCTGCAGCAGCG